AGCTCTGAGCTTGTCCCCTTTTCTCAGTTACCCTTTAAGGTAGAACAGTTACTCAAAATATAGTATTTTCATAAAATCAAAAAGAGCTAATTAAATAGAAGAATCTACATTTCACTTGAAGGGAATTGTTTTGCCAGGATGTAGGAAATGCTGAATTTAGTCTAAAGATAATCCACATGGTGGTTTTTTCCTTTTGAGCAGGAGATCAATAACCAGCTGGGGGCAGCATTTAAAGTGAAAGCACCTTAATATATAATGACACTTCACTTCTATAACAATGGCATCTTTTATAATGATACCAGATGGCCTTGCTAGATTTGTATAGTGTTACTGAAAAATAAAAAGATTGACCCATAAAACAATGTGAACTGGAGTATGGCCCAATCACTCGAGAAGTAAAGTTTAAAGAAACAAAAAAAATGGGATTGCATTTTGTAGGCCCCAAAATGATTGAGAGGTAGGCTTAGTAAGTCTATTGAGTAATTTTGAGGGGATCTCTCATTTATAAATTGTAAAAATATTTAATCATAACAAAATATTTCTATTATCCCTAACATCTTGTGACCAAAGCTCTCCTAGGTTTTGACTACAAAGACCACTTAGAGGAATGAGTCCTGTTTCATGTAGTTCTGTATATACAGTTGTGACTATTAGTATGTCAAACAGAAATCCGTCTCTTAACAAACATATCACTGAGAGAGAATTGCCTGGAACCTTGTAGGAAAGGCTTTCTTTGACCATGTAGAAATCTTTCTTATATTTACATGGAATTTCTGGGTGTGTCTACACATTGCCCTACAACACTGTACAGCCTGCTATGGTGATGTAGTGATCACTTGGGTCTACATGTGATTGGCAGCTCCCACACAATGGGAGAGAGTGACGTTCTCTCCCATTGTAGCACACTACTATGGCAATGTAGCAGTGAAATCTTACTGTGTGCTACATGCACAGCACAGTAGCTATGCTATACCAAAAGGAAGTACTAAAGCACGGCACCATAGCATTGTCACCATCCTGTGATGTGTAGGTGCATCCTCTGAGAACATGTGGTGGCAGATGACAGAACAAGAAGCAACAGTCTCAAGTTACAGCAAAGGAAGTTTAGGTTAGATATTAGGAAGAATTTTCTCACTAGGAAGGTAGTAAAACACTAGAGAAGGCTTACCCAGAGAGGTGGTGAAATCACCATCCTTGGAGGTTTTCAAAACTTGGCTAGACAAAGCTTTGGCTGGGATGATCTAGTTGCGGATGGTCCTGATTTGAGCAAGGGGTTGAACTAGATGACCTCCTGAGGTCCCTTCCAACCCTAACTTTAAATACATAGAATCATATCATCTCAACAGAGAAAATTCAGGGCATGTGTACATGTTCATGGAACCTAATCTGTGATCTCATGGTTTACTTTAAGCTGTGTGATTACAGATCAGCTCCCCACTTGTGCATATATTCACCAGTACTGGGAGTTGTGCCATGAACATAATCTTAAGTAAATTGAGTAGGAGGATAGCCAGGCAGGATCAGGAGGAAGGGAGCTGACTATGGGTCTATGAGGGCAGGAGGCATGTTGTCCATTGATAAGTGAGGGGCCTTGGAGAGTTAAAAATAGCCTGTTCAGGATTGGTGGGGGCATAGGAAAAGCACAGCCCCAGGGGTGGGGTGAGTGACTAGGCTTTCCCAGTCCCAGGGATATACTCTGAACATGTACATATGTCCAGTTAGATCAGGTATGGGTCAGCCCAATCTACCTGGTGTAACCCCTCAGGTGAAATAAATTCGATTAGGCCAGCTATTTTTTGCCCCAACTAAACTCCCCAAATGTACATACAGTTCAGCACTTAGATTGTATCGACCTCACCCTAATTAGGTTGGTCTAAGTGTAACATCTGCATGTACTGTCAGATACAGCTTAAAGCTTCTCTTTGTAGCTACATTACTGTTGTTACCATCACCTGTTATTAAAGAGCAAGGGTTTCTCAGGGTATTATTCTCAGACTTCCAGCCTCACTTTTATTTAATAATTACTTCTTTCTACTCTGCATCAGTGTTAAATAGTTACTGCAAGTTTAGTTTCTGATCAATGTTTGTTTGTTTGTTGTTGCTTCATTTTAATTTTTAGGGTTTTTTCATTTCCTATTTAAAATGTAACTCATTTGGATGTGTCTTAGGCAGAGGGTTACTAAAGCTTTCACTTTTGGGGGAAAAAGTCAAATATTACATCACATACACTTCAGTTTTCATTACCAAACTGCTGGGCACAGGAAAGAATGTTGCTGTAAGATACTGTGCTATAAAGCTTCTATTTCAGTTATCCCTCTTTTCCACTCACATTCCACCAACAGAAAGGACTTCAGATTATGGTACTAGCCACCAGCACTCTGCTTTGAGAACCACAACATTTGCAACCCAGTCTGTTTTCCAGTTTGTGGGGTGGTTCTACATTTATCATACTACTGTACAGGATGTGCTATCATGTAAGAATGTTGGCTAACCCCTGGCTTTAGGAACAGGACTATGCATAAGACTTAGACTTGAAAGAGATGTAGTTATCAATGTAACACATTGCTTGCTCGTTTAGGAGGGAGTTAGGGAAGGTGAAAAAAGCAGTCAGTCTAGACTTCTACATGCTGATGATCCATTGGAGAAAAATGTGGGGGGAAAAAAAACCTACCAGATTTAAAGAGGATGAGTTATGGGAAGGAAAGATATGGGGAATGGATTTTTTATAGCATCTTTGAATGGACTCAGATTCCTCAAGTTCACCTTTTTAGTAGCCCTTTTCATCCAGCATATTAACCTGTTTCCTTTCTAGTATATATCTATCCTCCTCATTTTTTTACAGAAGGCACCAAATTTCCTGTCACTCTCCAGGAGACTGAGTCTTGCTTTCAGTTCATCTGTAAATAATAGTACTATGTTTGCACTTATATACTTCTTCACTATCTTCAAAGCCTGTACAAACCAATTTAGTTGTGTATGAGGTACACAACAATGTTTATTGTAATTTCTGCTTGGTGAGTAATGTTAATAATTATTATTTCTCTTACAACAATTTGTCATCATGCCTCTTTTTTCAGATGGGAAGTAAATTATACAAGGATGGAAATTTTGTACATTACAGGGCAGTACTAGCATTGTAGGCTTATAATGAGCTGAAGTTTTTAGCCACATAATTTTTTCCTCTAATTTGTGGAAATTGTTTCATTGTTCATCTCTGATGCAACAACTTGAATAAAATGAACAAAAAATTATTGGCAAATTTTCTATTGAAATAAAAGGTTGTCTAACACACACACACAGAGAGAGAAACTTTTTGGACATTGATTACAAAGAAAAAAAAAGGCAGGGAAAAGGAAGAAAGGAAAAAAGATTTTTTTTTTTTTTTATCTTCACCAAGCCAGAACAGTAGTATACTCTCAAACCGTATGACCTAATCAGTGAGAATCACAGTAAAATGTAATGTGAGAAATTTCACACACAGTGGTGTGAACAATGGAAAAGGTCATAGTTTTAATTATTGAGCTTGTCATTGCCTTGCATAGTTGTAGAGGTGGCTTTTGTTAAGATATGTTTTCATATTGATAATCTTACTGGATCTAATTTCCTATTCTGTTCTAAAGTGCTTGTTCTGTTTCAAGGAAAATTTGGAAGTCTCATGATTACATTATTCTCAGAACTTGTTTTAAATTTGTCAATTAGAAATAGGGGAACAGCTCTAAATCTTGTTATTGGTTAATAAGAGTCAGTAAAATAAATCAAATCAAAATCACCTGTGTTACCCATTACTTTAAAAAAAATTATAGCATAATGGAGAGAGAAATTTACCCACACCCACATTCCTCACTAAAAATGCATATGGAACCTCTTGGTAAATTAAAACAGAACCATCTCTTTAACATCAGCTTTAATTTTGTAACCTTGCTAACTTCAGAAACAACCAACTTGATGATTCCCAGTGGTCATTTTCCAGAACACTTAGGGCTCAATCCATAAAGAGATGCAGGTATTGCAATTCTCAGCATAACAAAACCTAACTTTTAGGCTAAGTTTAGAGAGTCAAAAAGCAGGAGGATTAATCAATTCAGCCTTTGCAGGTTAGTCTAAACTGCGGGGATTAAACTGAGAAACAACTGGACAGACATTCACTTTTGATTAAGGAAATGCAGCCACATACCTGCAGTGATTTAGGCCAGAAGCTGAGGGCACTAGAGCATAGCTCTCTGGCACATAGCCAGCATGGGTAGCTTCCTCTTCATGACGATCCCAAGGTCTCTGGGATTTGCAGTTTAGGATCACTGCAGCAGGCCTCTGCCCATCACTTCCTCTTCCTGCTTCCAGGTGCCTCTGGGGTTTGTAGTCCACAGTCACAGCCAGAAGTATGTTTTTGGCAGGGCAGGGCAGGGCAGCTCTGCACTTGTGGGGAAGAGAAGTTTAACTCCTCCCCCTGGCCCCAGCCCCAGCCCTCAGCCGGGGTTTGTCTGGAGAGAAAGGGTGGAGGGAGTTCCTGCCTCCCTCCCTAACCCCCCAATCTTCTCTGCTGGAGCAGACAGCCCAGCCCAGGGCTGGAAATCATGCTGGGATGCTGGGGGACTGAGATTTATCTTGAACCAGGAAGGGGTATATGCCTTTGCATTTTAAACTTGATACAAGATTACTTTTGAGATGCAATAAAATGTAAAAGTCCGTTCTTGAAACTTTTCCATATTTCACTACTTGTCAGCTGAATAGTGTGAATGAATAGAATTGTATATGTGTCTTGCAACCCACAGTCAACATTAACTTTATTCATTGTTTTTTCAATTTTATTTTGGATGTCTGTTACTTAATCTAAAATCAGACATATTGATTGTCCCATTTCCTTAGTTAATAGAATGTACTCAGTGTGATTTACAAAGTTATGTATTTTTTGACTGAAAGGTGATCTGATAGGTTTTAAAATAGAACCACTGTCACTTCCAGGAAGCCAGATTTGTTGAGTTGCACTGACAGTACATTAGGACAATTCCTTTACAGCATGTTCTCATTAGTATCTATTCTTTCCAGCTTGGCTTATATAACATTAATGCATAGACGTCATCTGACATATGTGAATGTTTTAAAATTAATACAGCTAGACACACACAATACCTAATGTTTGGGGAAAAAATCCTTTTCTTCCTGTGAAAAGCTTTGCTGATAAATGAGTTTATTCTTCAATAATGATAATGAACAATGGCGTTTTCTTTATTCATCTATCCACAAGAAAAAAATTACTATTAATTGCCCATCTTGAAGCTGGTGGGATTGTCTCCAGCAGTATTACATGGCAACATTCTGTGCTGTAGCACACATGCTAGGTGAAGGAGAACAGGAAATAAGTATACATTGGATTCTTAGGTAGTAATAACCCCAGTTTCAGCCAAGTCTGTGGAATGCATTTTCTTGTTTTTGGCTTCTTCTTCTTTATGTTTAGGAGAAAATTTGGGTAGGGGAAGAGGAGAAGAGGATTTTTTTTTATTTTCCCTTGATTGTGTAGGACCCTAATCAAACTAGACCAGATATGCTTATGACTCTAGTGCAATAGAAAACATTTTTCTTTAAATCACTGTTGCGGTTTGAGTGTTAATGGTCAGACTCTTTTCTTACCAATGTTTGCATTTAAATAGACTCAAGTGATCTTTGAAGGTAACATCCCATTAAGATGAAAGGAGGGTTTTTTTCCCTTTTATAATATTATCAATGTGTTTGTGTGTGTGTGTGAGCACACACATGCATATTTATTCTGTTTCACTGCAGCTTTAGTAAGTAATACTGTGCAAATTAATTCACGCTGTCCTTGCAAGTAGAAGGACAAGAAATATAATTATTTTCTGAGACAAGGAAAAAACAGTCTAAAGAAAGCAGAAGTATTTGAAAAAGCTCTTAGATACATTGATTTTGTTGCACCTAAGGATTTTAATTTGTTTCTGTGAAACTACACTTAGAATGGTTACAAGTCATCTTCCCTAACCTAACATTGTCTAAAGTGAGACATATTTTCTAATGAACCAATAAAATTCCTCCTATCTGTGTTCAAATTATAGCGATACCCAATACATGGAATAAAAGCCTGACCCATAGAAAGGGCTAGTGTGACAAGATATATGAAAAATGGAATATAAAGGTTATATTGCCTTTGTATTTTGCACATTCACAACTGCTATTATACTAACTTATTAGTCCCTAGATTGGCCTAAGACACTGTATAATAGTGCTGTTAGACAACATCCATGCTGTTGGTAGGGGCTGCTGCTCCTCTTTGGTATTGTCAAACCCAGAAGCATGGCAGTGAAGCTGCTTCAGGGCATCCCTATGGTTGCCCTTTCGATTTCAAGCTCCAGTGTTTTTGTGAGCAGCTTCATTAAAGCACTTTTAGGTTTGACAGTGATCATTGTGAGAGGTTAGCCAGATCATACTCAAGAGATGGACCCCCTCCAGAAGTGCCTGGGACAGAGTGTATCAAGTATACCCTAAGAGTTTTGGGTTTTCTTAGCTTTGTAGTTGGTCTAGATTAAAATTATTTGTGTCAACTGACTTAATAGTTTTCAATGTATAGCTTTGAGAATACAAACCTTTTTTGTAGTCATGACAATCAGAGGTTTAAGAGTGTTTAGATTAATGCAGTGTTCAAGCTTTCCAAGCATACAAATCTTAGTACAAAGTATTCCCACCCTCAAATTTCAGACTCCCTGGATAAACTATGCATAGTACCAAATTAGATATGAGGTTGAGGCTGTCATTTGCAATACTGATGCTCTACTGAGGTCTGTAGAGCTGAAGATCTAGTTAGACTGTTCTACACTCTTCTTAAATTTCCTGTGTTTGGATTGTGTTGCATTTTCATTTTATCTCTAGTGGAAAGAAAGAAGAGATTAGGACATTTTTGGTAATACTTCCCCTTAGCTGTTATTGTTTTTATAAAATAACTTTTTTGCATGTTCAACAGAATGCTGTTGAAGTTACATACTTGTTTGTAAGACAATCCATGTTGGAGTCAAGGTTTTGCATGCAAATCAGACTACTGTTTTTTTTTCCTTCAGGTGAATGTAGACCTACAGACCCCTGATCCAATGTGTAGCTGGGATATTTTGTTAAATTTTCTAAAGTTTTTCTCTGAAATCTAATTTGGCTATTGTATTTTAGGCATCTCACCAGATGGCATCTCTGGCAGGGGTGTGCTTTCTGGAGTGGTGAAAATGGTTGGTTCTTATGAATATTTATTGATTCAGTAAATATAGCCTTGAAAGCAGCTGCCAAAGGACATTTCCACCCAGAAAAGAGAAGCCAAATAAGTCGTCCAACAGAACAACAGCAAGTGTGTACTTACCAGGGTGAAGAGTCCCTTTGTTTTTGCTCAATTGCTTATTCTGGATTGAAGGTTTACCTAGAATCATGGTACTCACCTAAAACATGAAGCTGACTGAACTGGTTGCTAATAACAATTACTTTAGTGATATTTCTGTGAGCAGCACTAGAACAACAATTGCAAAAAAAACCCCAAAACACATGATGCCCATTCAAGTTCAATAAAACACTAAAATATATGTATTTAAATAATTGTTGAACAGGGATGGACTTTGGTTTGTGCTTCATGCATGAGGTTCCAATGTGTGTTCCACAAGTTCCATCCAACTAACTATAATAAGAAATAATGGAAAAGAAAGAAACTGTGAATATTACAATATTTCTTTCTCTTACATATAAGCAGTTGTTTATAGTGTGTCAACTTTTATTGTATATTGTGTATTTTTGTCTAAATCAATTAAAGGTTAATTTGATGTGTTTAATTTAATGAAAGCCTGTGAAACTAAATGATTTATATTAAAAATAATGTAGCTTCTACACTTAATTTTGATCAATTTTTATTGCTTCAGGCAGGCATTGAGATAATTTAATCACTGGCTATAGAGAGAGTTATTATCTAATTAACAAGGGAGACAACATTCTGAATAAGAGGAAAAAACACAAGGAAGATGCAAGTGGTAATCAAAGATGACTACAACTAAGTTTTGTTACTCAAAGGTTATTATTGGCAGTATCCTGTTAATAGATATCATGTGCTATACAAGCTGTGATGCTACATGCATCCTGATGGCCACGAGCATAGAATGATCAAATTCTTATTTAATAAAACTGATTGAAAAATAGAAGAAGGCTTGATTAGAATGAGGAGGAGCTGCTTTATGCCCCATTAGAGTGTGCTGAGAACATCAAATGTCTAAAGCCACATTCTGATTGACTAATTAGGTCTTTCTGGGGTGTGATAGCCTTAAACAGAAAATGAATGCTGGCTCTGCATGAATTTACAGTAGTGTCCATAATCATAAATCCTCCTCCTTCAAGGGTACCTTTATTATGTTTGTTCTTTCCTTGCTATTTTATTTTAATCTAGGAAACACTTTCCAGAATAAAAGACTACAGTACCTAGCTGAGTATCCTAATCTATCCTACACACGCTCAGGCTTGAATCATTCATTTAGATTAATATTTCACTTCAATACTTGAGTAACTGATGCATATAGTTGCAGAAATTTTAGTAATTTTTTTGTACTCTGGGAAATGTTAATATTTTGAAATTTATTTGCAATTTGGACAGTTGGAAATATTACAGAAGGCTCTTTGCTTGTTTTCACTATAAAACATTGGATTTGAAAAAGGGCAAAATATTTGTGTATTGGTTCCATATTAATTTCTCTGATTAAAAAAAAATCCCCAATTTTAAGATTAAAAATGTAACCTTATATAGCTCTGGGTTTAGCTCTGGCTCTTGGTGTGGAGTGTATGTGTGTGTATATATGTATGTGTGTGTGTGTGTGTATGTGTATATATATATATAGTGGTATTTCATTTTAATCATGGAAAATGTAGATTTGGGGTTACTTTTTTCAGTCTGAAAATTGGAGGGAGTTTTTTTTTTGTCAGAGGAAACCAGTATCCCCGGTCTTCAAGCCCAGCTGGCCCCTACCCTCCCATCCAGGTGGACTCTTATCCACTGACCAGCTACACCTGGATTCCAGGCTTTTGAGGGTCGAGCACCTCTTTGCATACTCCTTGCACATTTCATCTTATGTAACTGAAATATCTGCCTATATTACATCTTTCAGAATCCTTCATGGTCATAAGGGTTCAGTAAATCACCATGGTGATTCAACTAGAGGAGTTTCCATAACATCATAGGACTGGAATGGACCAGATGTAGTCTCGTCAGAGCACCTAAACACAAAGAAAAATAAAATGTTCTGATCTTCTCTGGGGAGCTTAATCTATCTAAAAGGGGGATCAGAAACCATTTATCAGTTGCCAACCAAATTAAT